TTTCTTGAGCATAATAGCGACCTGAATACTGGACGGAATATTTTTTGGTTCAACAGAAGCACCAAAGATGATGAAAAAACAAGGTAGATTACTAGAAACTGCCCGCTTAAGAACGTTCATAGTGAAATAATGCTGGTGATGGTGAGGAGGAACGAGTGTAGGAAGATGGTGTTGCTCGACTTGCTCATTACGAGGTGGAAGATCGTTGATTCTCAAGCTTTTTTTCATACGTTGATGATTACCATCACTATTGTCGAAACTGTCGCTAGCTGGACGTCTTGGAGTGGAAGTAACGGGGGTGGTTTGTTGTTCCATAAGTGGACGTACTTCTGAAAAATTTGGCTGATGATTCATAAGAGGAGGAATAGAAGAGATCGTTTCGAGAGACGGACGAATAATACGAGGTAGACGATGAGGCGAGCGTTGTGACGACGCTGGATGATGAACTTGTTGCTGCGTTTGAAAGGAGTGTTGCGATTGTTGAATAAGGGCTAAACCAATTTGATGAAGTTCTTCATTTGAGAAACGATTGAAAAATGATGTTAAATCTGGTGGGGGTGTTGGATTCGGGATCATCTTCAGCACCTAGACGTTGGTGCTGAAAATGTGTTGGTGGTGGTAGTGAAGATAAACAACACCACGCGAGAGAGGGAAAAAAAGAAAATATATAATATGTGACTTATCACTAGCGTGCAAGAATAAGGAATGATCCACATTGCCATTGACCAGCTAGTTGTGAACAACTAGCACCAGATGGACACAAACCTGTTGGGCATCCACCGGTACCTAAACCAGTTAATTGAGCACCAAGACCAGCAAGTGGTGCTGTGGGGTCAAGAAGACCACGAGCAACAGCAGGCCATAAGTAGGGAAAATTGTACCAGTTAACATTTTGATATGGATATGGATAGTAAAAGCCTAATAAAAATTGCAGATTATTTTTCTATTTAATCACGTTTCAATCATACCTAGGACTATAACAGTTCGGAAACAGTTCCGAACTGGTGAACTGTTCAAACAGCTCTCTCGAACTGAGCTGGACTGTTTGAACAGTTCAGTTCAGCTCACTAGAACTGATCGAACAGCTCTCTCGAACTGAGCTGAACTGTTTGAACAGTTCAGTTCAGCTCGCCAGAACTGTCCAAACAGCTCTCTCGAACTGAACCGAACTGTTCGAACAGTTCAGCTCAGCTCAATAGAACTGTCAGAACAGCTCTTTCGAACTGAGCTGAACTGTCGTAGTCCAAGTCCTAAAGGTACCCTATAGCATATAGGATAGCTCTTGCCAGTTCTCTTGAGCTGAGCTGAACTGTTCGAAAAGTTCAGTTCAGTTCCAAAGAACTGTTTGAATAGTTCTGGTGAGCTGAACTGAACTGTTTGAACAGTTCGGTTCAGTTCCACAGAGCTATTCGAACAGTTCTCGTGAGCTGAACTGAACTGTTCAAACAGTTCAGCTCGGTTCGAAAGAGCTGTTCGAATAGTTCATTTGAACTGAACTGAACTTTTGCGAACAGTTCATCGGTTCGTTTGAACCGGGTTCGTGAGCTGGAGCTGTCGTAGTCCTAATCATACCGCGAGAATCAACTCGAACATGTTGTTGCTGTTGCTCGCCTTGATTTAAGAGAGCTTCGCTCAATGTTTTAATCATTTGATTTGATAATGCAGTATCTGTAAAATTGACTGCGGGTAATGAATAGACAACATTGCTTACCAATGTTGCGACCACTAAGAATAACATCACAAAAGCTTGCATTATTATTGTTGTAGCTGCTGATAATATTATCGATATACGGTGAAATTAAACGAATGTTTGAGTCTTGCGCAAACATTTATATACGATTACTAGTTTTTGTCAAACGCTTACTTCTTGAGATGAAGGTCTTATTATTTTTCTCTCCCTCACGCACGCTCTTTCCTTTGTATCATCCTCATTGATGAAAAGAAGTCATGACAATGTACATTGTATACGTATCTATATGTCTACAGATTATCCAGCTCCGACAGTTAAAAATGTTATGAATTCAAGGGACGTGTGGTTGTACGTTTAAAATCGGCCTACAATATGGATTAACAAAACGGTAAATGAAATTATAAATTAATGCCTCAATAAAAGAATGTAGATTAATACTTACAACCTTTAATAATTGAAATGCGTAGATGTTACTTTTCAATATTGGGATGTCAACAACATTTTATAAGAAGAAAAAGAAAAATTTAAAGCCTTTCATGGACAAAATGTGATTATGGCGAAAGATACAATGCACATATTTTAAGGATCAGCATGACAAATATAATAGAAATACAAAATTGATTATCAAGGTTACACCAACAATTATTTTGATAGACATTATGAAAAGAAAAATGATCAGAACGTTGCTACCATAGCATTTAAAATAAACAAATGTCGTTAAACTGTTTTACTATATAATCTACAATTAATCCGGAATTATTTTGAAAAGATAAAAATTTTCTATAGATGCTTATTGGCACAAAAGGAACAAAGCGTCATGCAATATTTATTCAACAGAAACTCGTTTAATTAAATGGTACGGCAAAGAAACACGTAATTTATCAGATTGGCTTTTGATTTATTTTTTTTCACATTAGTTAGAAAGACTAATTTTATTGTAGGTTTCACTTCGAATATGATCATATTGCTCTTTTAGAAACTCAATACTCAAGTACATTTTATTTGACATCTTTGAAATTGATTTATTAAAATACCAAGATATCATACATCATTTCAAGAAACATGAATTTTTAATGTAACTTTATTAAGTATGAAAGACAATTTTTATCATAAAATTTACACATAAATATAAACATTTATTTCCAACAATAAGATTTACCTCAAATATTTGTATTAAAGCTTTTTTGCTGTTTAATCATCCTTCACAGATTATTCTTCATAGTCTTTGTTTTTATTTCAAATTACTATTAAAATCGACTTGCTTTCAAAATGCTACTAATAAATTGTATTTATGCTTTTCTTTAAACTAATATTTTATGAATATTCCAGAAAGACGATCATTATTGATCTTTCTATTTAGTCAATCGAAAATGCAACTTTGAGAAATGATGTTCCTTTATTTGTTAGGTGACTAGGTAAAAAATTAACAGCGGATAGATATAAAAAAGAGTGCCGATTAATAATATTCTTATAAAATTAATTCGTGGTTTTATTTCTTTACATATTTCTTTATTCATTCTCTCGTGTACAAATCTCAATCTTGATCAATATATTCATTAGAGAAAATATAATTTTAAATCTGTATGTTTGATTAAGTTTATGATCACATATCAAGACTGTCACATAAATTAAGCATTTTTCACAATTTTTATTTTGCTTGATCTCAAATCTCAATCATATGTTATCTGAAAAAAACCCAAAATAGATCATTGCAGAAGCATAACCATACATACTATCTATTGTGAGGTTGAATATCTCGATTTATTTTTTTAAAATTTGAAAAAGTTATCAAAGCAAAAATTAAAGTTTATAATAATTGCATTTTTATTTCTAGCTTTTGAATAACATACTCTGGCATAAATAACACAGGATTGACTTCTCTAATAATATTTTCATTATATATATTTAATAATGATAATCCAGCCATACCGAGTAATGTATGAAATGGATCAGATATATTTCCTGGACGATCAAAACAACCACCTGTTTCATCATCTTGTGAAGCTAAAATAAATTTACTTAATTTTTCTCTATTGATCCATTGAATTTTTTCCAAGAATTTTCAATGATGCTAAAACCCATCAGCAATAGCAATCATCTGGCAATTTTTCTGGTCGATCGTTGAGTCCACCTGATTTATCTAATTGCCGTTCACATATCCCTCATGCTAACCTATTTCTTGTTGATACATCAAGATTGTCAAGACGCTGAACATGTGATAAAAATCCTAAACAACAATATATTTGTCCAGCATGTGATTCGTCTCCAGGTATACAACCAAAACCGCCATCCAAAATTTAAGCAACTTATAATAAAATATGTTGCACGATCGATATCAATAGTATCCAATGAATAAATTAATTTCATACAGGCAACAACACAAAATGAAAAACAGGTATCAATTTCTGCCTATTGGTCACCGATAAAACTTCCATTGTCTTGTTGTAATTGTTTTATATATGAACATAAACTTTGTTTATCAATCAAATCGATTCGATTTAACTGAACAAGTAATTGCACTGCTGGCAATGTATATAATAAATGTGGATCATAGTTTGGATATGGGGAATAACCATCAGAATTTTTATCGTAACATTTTTGTAAGGTGCACCAAAGTCAAAAATCGAGCAGAAAAAAAAGTTGTTTTATTATTACATGTTTGAATAGAGCTCAATGAGTAGATCATGAATATCACCTTTAAAATATTTCTAGGTTTCCGTTTTGGTCGAGAAAGTTTCAAAATACAAACTGTACCTGAAAAAGCGAATATTTCACTTTTTTTTAGATAAAACTCGAAATTTACCTAGTTTGACAATGTTCTAGGTTTAGAAAACTATCATCAGCGAATTTAGCATGAAAATCTGAATCTATTGATGTAACGTTGACCAGTAAAAACATAAATTTCATGTTTGAGGAGCTCAACTAGGTTTCCATATAGACACCTTGAAATTGATGTCTTGCAAAATCATCAACTATTTTTTTTGAAAGCAATTCTTGGACTTTCTTATATGCCCAGGTGAATGAATCCTGCGGCGGATCCTATCAGATCTGGTAGGATCCTACTACCTTACAGAATCCGATGGGATTCCGGATAACCGACCGAGAGTCGGATCCGGCCGTCGGATTCCTGTTAAATTCCTATGATATCCGACTGTCAGAACCGACGAAATTTCCGACAGTCATGTAGCTATCCATTTTCCATAAGATCCGGGGATATTTATTTTCGATATGCTACGAATCATGTGAATTATTCTATGGAACCTATTCAAGCAGCAAAAACATTTATCACAGATAAGTTATGAAAACTTGATGGTAGAATTCTCGCTAAGCATTTTTGCAAGCTTCATAGAAGCTGTATACTCTGCTTTGGCATAGGTGCAGAGAATGATACAGGAGAGCAGTGCATACAAATGTCTGATAAGTTAATAATCACAGTGAATATCCGCATCTTGTCAAATCGCTTAGAATAATTTTATTTCCCTTTTATTGCCTTGAACGATCATTTGCAAATCAACATAATTTGCGACATCTTGTTCCAGACAAAAGTGCTGTAATCATATTTTCCGTGTTGATTTCTGTGTGATTTTCCCGAAACACCTCTTTCTCACTAGGGTCAAACAAAGTAACCTTCAGATCTCATGGTATTGAGTACAGGCGTTAATGTGATACTCTTCAAAGTACTGTACGTCCTTAGCGAGTTCAAAGTCTTTCCTAAAAACATGACACAGCACGGCTACAATGTAGACGAACGTGGTTGATTAATAAATGCAGAAGAAGTTCTACTTAGGAAAATCATCAATAAATTGATATTGTTTCTATAATAATTTATTTCCTTTATTGATCTTACTTAACTCAAAGAAACCTGTTTTCCGAATTCGCTGATGACTGGGCACCATACTCATCAAAATCATCACGAGAAGAAAAAAGGTTTTCTGAATTCGTTAACTAGCGGGCATCAAAATCATCACTAGGAGAAAAAGGTTTTTATAAAGTCTTTTGGATATGACAACCCTAGACAAACATCTTGTAAGCAAGATCTTGGTCAAGATACAATGTACAGATATGTTAACAGATCTTGGAAATTCAGGTACAAGATAACTGTATTATCTTGTACCCAAGATCTAATTACAGATCTTACATAAGAATCCATTAAATCTTGGATGCACACTAAAATAGTAACTGCTGCATTCTTTAATATTTTTTCAATTTATTTTCATTTTAATTATTCCTCTCCCGAATTCCAGCAAGTCAGATGTTGGGATCTGACTGACTATAAATTGGTCTGATATCCGTCGGATCGATTAGGGAAGTCCTCTCTCGATCATCGATCGATATCAGCATTCTCTCGAATAATCGAAAAGTAGTTGAGAAAAAAAAATTTGAAAATTTGTGTTTCATATGTTCAAACATGCTGTTTATATACAGCTGTGTATGCATTTAAAAAACGGTGAATCACTAGAGAGCCTATCTAGATACACTAATGATGTCACTTTCTGTTTCGCTCAAGATCTTATCAGAAGATAATAGTACACGATATTTTTTCCATGATCTTGCCAAGATCTTAAGTACAGATTTATCTGATACAACCAAGGTATGTACATGCAAATTATCTTTTTAAGATCTTAATAAGATCTTACGTACCGATCCCGAGATTTCCAGATCTTTCTTACAAGATGTTCGACTACACTGTAAAAAAAATCCGTAGAATAAAAAACGAAAAAAGGGTTTATGAAAGTGCAACGTGCCACAAACCCTTTTAAAGGGTTTATGAAGGCGTTATAAACCCTTTCATAAACCCTGAGAAAAGGGATGAATATAGGGTTTATGAGTTGCAAAAGCTGGCCCTGAAGGGTTTATGAAAGGGATTATAAATCTCATAAATCCTTAACGGGTTTGCTATACGTTGCACTTTCATCAACCCTTTAGAAGGGTTGATTGATTTCAATTATTGTGATTGTGTATAATATTTTCTCTTCTCTTCGTGTGCTTTAACCTGATAATTCTCTTATTTATTAGTTAATTTATTGACGTTTCGATCGATGAAATCAATCTTCTTCAGAATA